GCCGGGCTCAGCGCCGCGATCATGGCTGTGCGCGAGTTCCCTCCTGTTTATATGCATTTATGTTTATATAAACATTTATATATTTATATATAAATACATATAAGTTTTTATATACATAAATCTATATAAACAGAAGAGAACTAAATATATAAATATATATGTATAATACACAAATAAACATATATTAAAATTATTTTATATATAGTAATTATTATTTTAAAAAACTAGATATATTTAAATAATATATATAAAATAATATAGTATATGTTTATATACATAATAGATATAAGAATTTTTATATATAATAGTATAATAAATAAAACAATAATATAGATTAATATATAAATACATATAAATAGGAGAGAACTAAACGTATAAATATATATAAATAATAATATATAAACACTATTTTGTATGTAATAAAATTGTTTTTAAAATAACATATTTAAACAATATATATAACATAATATCCATTTACATATAATATATAGAAATTATTTAATGTATAATAAAATTATATTAGTAAATAATATAAATAAATAAATATTATATTTTTATATATATATATATATATATATATATATGTATATATATATATGTATATATATGTATATATGTATATATATATAAAAATATCCTGAGCCCCCCAATAGATCAATATCCATATTTTGGTACTAGATAAATACCCACATTTTCAATAAATCCCAATAAATCAAACCCACCCAGGTTCTCCTTCAGCAGCCACGTCAGCACCGAGTCCCGGTACGGGATGAACTCCGGCTTCTTCTTCTTGCTGGTCTGCCCGGGAGGATGAGGAGGGTGGTGAGGAAGGTCGTGAGGGGTCCCCAAACACAGGGGTGGGGGACCCCAGACTCACCGCCTCGGCCAGGGCAGAGATGACCTTGCCCAGCGTGGTCAGGGACTTGTTGATGTTGGCGCCTTCCTGGGGAGGAGGAAGAGGGGAGGAAGGCTCAGGAGGGCTCTGGGGGGCAGGGGGGAGTGGCCCCCTCTTTTCTGGGGGTCCCAGCCCCTCTTTTTTGGGGGTCCCAGCCCACCTTGAGGCGGATGCCCTTGGCCCCCGAGGCGTCGGCGCGTTCGCTGCCCGCCAGGTCCACCAGGGAGATGCGGCTGACCTGGGGGGATTTGGGAGAAATTTGGGGGTGTTTGCGGAATTCTGGGGGTGATTTGAGGGAGCGGAGAGAATTGCTGAGTGCTGGATGAAGCTAACGGCGAATTTTGGGGGAATTCAGGAGATTTCGGGGGGATTTCAGGGTGATTTTTGGGGGATTTCAGGAGGGGTTTCAAGAGACTTTCAGGGGATGATTTGAGAGCGATTTCAGCGGGATTTCAGGGTGACCCAGAACTGGTGTGGGATGGATTTGGGGGTCACTCCAGGCCCCCCCCGACCTTCTCAGTGGCCAGCTCGCTGAGCNGGGGATTTTGGGTAGATTTGGGCAGGTTCTTGCCCAAAATGAGGGTTGGGGAGGGGGTTGGGGGGGTCACAGAGGGGATTTGGGGCAGATCTGGGCAGGGTCACAGGGAGTTTAGGGTGGATTTAGGTGGAAAACGGGGCTTTGAGGGTGTCATAACAAACTCCAGAGAAAATCTGGGGGCGACACAAGATTTATCGGAGGTCAAAGAGAATTTGGGGAGGAAATTTGGGATTTTTGGGGGGTTTCAAAACCTGTTCTTGGGCACAGGGGGATTTTGGGGACACACAGAGGGATTTGGGGGGGCTTTGGGGGTCCCTACCCGACTTGAGCACCACCGGCTCCGTCACCTGCTTCCCGTTGACGTAGGTCTCAGCCCCCTCACACGGCTCCAGCGTCACCACAGCTTCAGGGGGGGACAACAAGGCGAGGGGGGGTCACCCCCGTGCCGAGGGATCCCCAAATCCCACCCAAACCACCCCAAAATCCCCCCAGGAGCCTCGCGGTACCTGGGGGGGCCACGCTGACCTGCTCCAATTGCAGCATTTTGGGGAGAAAAGGGGTAAAAAAGGAGTTAATCTGTGCCAGGAGAAGGCTGGGCAAGGGGAGGGCACCCCAAAATCCGGGAGGGCACCCCCAAAATCCGGGAGGGACCCCCAAAATCCGTCAGGGACCCCCCAACACCCCGTACCTTCCCCCGAGGAGGGGTCGGGGCAGCTGCGGAAGAGGCAGTGCTGGTCCTGGATGGACGGTCCCGAGAGCTTGATGTCCACGTCCACCCGTCCCACCCTGCCCAGGGGGGAAAACACAAATTGGGGGGGGTCCCAAAGGGGGTCCTGAGGGGGTTTGGGGGTCCCACAGTCCCCTCACCCACCTGGTGACGCCGTCCTTGATGTGGTACAGGAGGCACTCGGACATCAGGGGGTCCTCGTTGAGGTTCACCAGGTGCGGAGTCTGTTTGGGGGGTTTGGGGATAAAAAGGGGGGTCAGGGGTTGGGGGGGACCCTCAGGGTGAGGCAAACCCCCCCCCAATTAAAAAAAGTTAAAAATTTGCCTTTTTGGGGGAAAACACCCCGACAGTGCCGCCGTCCTCGCGCAGAGCCACCCCCATCTCGGCCAGCAGCGCTTCCCTGGGGGAGCACAGGAATTTGGGGGGGAAAAGGAAATTTGGGGGGTTCAGGAATATTTTGTGGGGGCTCAGGAATATTTTGGGGGGGTTCAGGAACATTTTGGGGGTCCAGGGCCCCCCCTCACCGCTCCAGCCTCAGCGCCTCCGTCCGTCTCAGCTTCTCCTCCCACGTCTCGTTCAGCTCTGCGATGATTTTTTCCGTTTCCTGGGTTGAAAAACAAATTTTGGGAGGGGTCCCCATGGATTGGGGACCCCCT